TAGTACATTATTTTATTCTATCATCAATCGTTTTCGCAGGGCACGCGATGTAAAGAATATTTTAGGTAATTTTTTTACACCTTGGGTTACATTATTGGAGTTTTAGTAAGGATCCCTAATGTTTTTCAAAAAAGATTATAGCCTATGTCACTCGAGAATAGTGTAGCTTCCAAACAGTGAAAGAATTTTTCAAATCTGTTCAGTAATTTCGGAACCTATTCAATACAAGCAAACAAACAAATCTTTCTTCTTTATAATATTAAGTATAGATTTATCTCGCCGGTCAACTAGTTATTGACTCTGAGTCTGGTCCGTGAGTGTTTGTCTTGTATGTGTTTCCTTAACTCATAACGCTGAAGGAAATCCCAACTTGGAGCCGCTTAACATGGAGTATTTGATTTTTTAAACAAGATCATAAATATAGAAGCAATTAATAAATCTTCAATAAGGAAAGTAAAAAAACGATAATGTTATAGTACTGTGGGTACTTATAAATGCACAATTATATTGAACATGTCTAATTTGTATCAAAATTGATGAATGTAATACGAGTATTTAAAAAATATGTAGCTTAAGCCTAACTTAACTCTTTTATAGCAAACCGAACAAAAAACATCGATTTATCCTGGCAATCTTGATTACGGTATTTTAAGATAGGCAGCGGCTTGGCTCTGCCCCTGGGATTGCTGAAGTCCATGGGCAACGGTATCCACTCACCATCAGGTGGGCCGTATGCTCGTCTGCCTACAAGGGCAATAAAAAAAAGATACCCACTAGGAAGAAGAAGCATACAAATATATGTGTGAGTTTTGTGAATAAAATATTGGAAATCACAGGTTTTCGCGTAGGTAGACATAATTAAATCTACTTTTACAGCTAAATCTCGCGTTTATTATTTTCATTTGATTAAGTAATAAAATTATTGTATCGTGATCTGTTCTTGTTATGTGTTACATGAAAATATTCAATTTAATAGAACATCTTGAACTTTATGAAAATTTCGTTGACACATTCTGTTGTATCGATAGATGGATACAAGTCGAGCTAATAAAACTGTGTTAATAATATATATGTTATGTATATAATATATATGTTTAACAGTTTGGGGAGTTACTGACTTCGAGGTTTTCCTTTGACACATCTGCTCACTTAAACCAATTCAACTTTAATGAGTAAAATCGCAACGAACATAGACATTGCCTCCCAATCTTAAAAATATATAGTGAGCTTTTAAAATATGATATAAAACATACTATGTATTTCGTTTAATTTAAATATTAGTTTTCTTTCTTAAAAATATTCTCTTTAGTTTTACAACATTTTTTTTAATTAATATATATCTATTTTTAACCTAATAACAATTTTAATTCGACCCTAAAAAACTACACCGAAATCTTATTTAGAACAGATTTCATTCTTACTCTCAGTACGTTCTGAAGAACTTAGGGCCAAGGCAAAAGAAGGCTGCACGCAATGTTCATAAAATACAATGTTGCTTCGGAAATTGTATCTTATTCTTTTACAGGATCTATAGTAAAGTTATCACTTTAGGTATCACTTTATAATTAAATAGCATCACAATGTTTAGTATTCCACCAGTATTTTTGTTATCCTTGTCTATATTGAAACCCATTAAGTAATAATAAACTGTTTTAGAGAGAGTGAGTATGCTTTATTATACGCTAATAAACAAAAATGCAAACCATTAAATACAAACATACAATGGGCGGTCTTGTCGCTAAGAGCGATCTCTTCCGGACAATCATCAGGCGGACAAGAAATCTCTAAGGAAATAAATTAACTGCGGTTTAATTAAATGTAAATATTATAAATAAAAAATAAATAAACATTATATACAAAAATGCAACAATCTATATGTATGTTCTGATCAGACATTTTACCCGTACACATATTATAATAAACAAATTGATAACTAAACAGTTCAATACTGTTCATTCACCTGTCCTGGTAATATTGGAAAGACCTTCGGGCCACCAGTAATCCTCCCTTCCAAAAAAAAGGAATACTGCTCCTTAACCATTCGTTTGAGGTAATTTAATGTTTCAGCGTGTCCTAGACCTACCGAGAGAGCCTTCCGCAAACGAAATTGGCCGAACAATGAAGAAATGACCATAAAACATTCTGGAATGCACCAGAATCATTAGTTACATATTTTCTGATGATTATTTTATTACATTATTATCTCAAAATTAATGTTTGAAATTGTCCATCTTCATTAAGATACGGTCATTACCGTAAAACCTGTCTTATGTTTAGACGATGATTCTTTTTTACTTACCTACACGGAAGTGTAGTGACCATCAAAAACTTGAATACATATTTTTAATATTCTAAATGTGACGTATGTATGTTAAGATGTAATGAAGGTTTGGAATTCGTATAAAATACGGCTGGGGGAATCCCGATTAATGACGTTACCGACATAAACAGGTATTTCCTTTCCTTAAAAGCGCTAGAGGCTGACGTAGTTTAAGGTTTTCCTCAAAACGTAATCACGACGCCAAACATTAACCGAAGCGGAGTTATGATACTCTAATGAATTATGCCTATTTAGTGCATTGTTCAATTCCAAATACCGAACGTAAAAAATTATAAACTTTAAATGGCCTCCTTTTTGCTCTACATTTGAGTTATATCGTATTGAACTGATATGGCTTATATTATATATGTAGATTATGTTTTGTAGCAGACTTTGTATGATCAAACTGTACTAAATTACTAGATTTCTTCGAAAATCAAGCGCCTGTATATTGTTTTTTATATCCGGATAAAGTTTTATGTATGTTTGAGTAATGATGGTAGTAGCTAAAACTACAAAAACAGACGGATTGGTTGGTATCATTTTGTAATCGAAGTTTTCCATAAACCCATGAAACAAATTGGTACATCGACAGTAATAAATTCGAGTAGTACGAAACGAAACCCGTAAAAAAATCTTCACAAAATAATCTCATAGAACTGTCAATCGGTAAACTCACTATAAGAAAAATCTCATAGAAGAATTATTTTTATTAATATTACGTATTGAATGCTTCAAAAAATATTTTGTACTACATATTATGTGTTCTGTTCTTCGCTTGGACAGTGAGCAGGTATCGCGGACTCTATTAAATTATGGCAAATTAACCCCACAGGGACACAAGATACCGAACCCATCGGCCCTCTGGGTTGGCAGATTATTCGGAACCCTATACAGTGCCATTTGAATCCCTAGAATACCTCACTAGGTCACTAGCGTGGGTCAAATATCGCCGGTTTCTGTCACCTTATCGCTTTTATCGTCGACGAATGAGTCCCGTACTATCTTTGTTTATGACATATTATATTATATGTATATTATATTTGTATATTTATCTTGTCTTGAAACATTGATCCAACTTTCGTGGGTGCAATCATTTAGATATGATTAAATATCGCCATGTTAAAGATAATACGATTTTATATATAATAGAATATGATATAGATATTGATAAAAAGTTATAGTAATTAAGTAAAAAAATGTAGGTAACATATCTAGACTCTACGAATGTGCCCTGATTGCACCCTCTTTGACTTTGAAGTGTTATAAATTATAAAGGTATTTACGTATTTATTTGCTTGAAATCTGACCTTACGGTAATTGAACTTCATTGCGATCACTTAGTTTTAGATTCGTATAGATTCGTATAGATTCGTATAGATTCATACAATTATTGGTATACAAGTATCGACTCAAGAATCATTATAAGGTTTTTAATTCAAATGACAAATGAACAAAAAAAAAACAACAAAAACAAACATTTGAAAATCCTTGATTTGGGGCCTATTTTGACACTGTTTTTTTTTTGATAAATCTTTTATGTTCAATATGAAAACTTAACTAACATTTTTTATTACTACTTTATACCTTCTATAGTTATTATTTAAGTGTCAATAAATTTAAGATTTCTATCGTCGTTCTTACATAATTCGTTCTAAGTAGGTACATAAAAGTTATATTATTATTGCTTAATTTACATTCTGAAATGATAATCCGAATTTCGATATGTAATCCTTTACAATTTTTGTTTGTCTGTTTGTACACTTTCGACAAATTCTGATATATCGAATTTGGATGTGCTTATTAGTATGTACTAAAATGAAGATAAGGTAAAATTCAGGGCTTAATCCATTTTAATCGACCAAAATTTATAGCTGTAACTTATGAGAATATTAAGAAGAGACACGTTTTCGCGAATTTATTTGGCCCCAGCTCGTTTAAAATAAGAAATATTATTTATTTCCGTACATACATAAGTAAAGATTAACATGTTTTCAACTACCATGATCTTTTCCGTCTTAGTTTTGATAAACACTATTGCAAATAATTGTAATTAAAAGGTTTAATCAAAGTCAAAGGTTTATATGTCAAAAAGCCGCAACGAATGTCAGGGTCATTAATATTATTTGAAAGTCATCTAATCAAGGTTAGTACGGGTATATTCGATTAGAATCAAATCATTGATATATAATCTTAAATGAATAATTCAAAAATATAGATAGATATCTACCTAAATATGGGCAAGAGTATAACGTATAAAATGTTCTATTTTCAAAAGATAACTTGTCTTTGTAATTTGAGAAATTGAATTAACTTTATAAGTATGTAACAAATCGAAAACATTATAGGTACTTTTCAAGGAATCAAATAAGTAACATCACAAAAAACATTCGTACCTATAAGAGATTTTTCGAACTTGAAACTAATAAAAACCACACATAAACTTTAAAAAAAAACGTGAATCAAAATGAATTTCAGTTTTACCTTTTTTTCACAAAAATCGAACTTTACCGACCCAAAAACGAATTGGGATATGATACGATCATGAGAGCATAATGGAAAATCCGTTTTAATGATTATATTATTATTGGAAATAACGAATAATCTCGCACATTGGATTGCTAATTACTTAATTTAACAATAAGGTTCTGGGTCAAGCGCAGTAAATTCGGACACTTACCAATCTATTTGCTCCCGTCAAATCAACACAAAAAAACTTTTAAAAAACGAACGTTCACGATGTCAAATTTATATTGAATTACTTCAGAACAACATTCGAAGAATAAATGCAAAACGCAGCTCACCCAACGGCCTGTACCGAGAGACTACAGCCGTCGCCGCGAACCTTGCAAGCTTTATATATTAACCATCTAGCGAACAGTTTACGTAGCCGACTCAATTTCAAAGATTAGCTGCTGCGCATGAACCCTCAACTCGTGTACTAATTAATAGAAATCAAATTCTGCAAAGCTTTAAAATCTATTTTCAGAACAAAAATTGATATCACAAACTTTACAAAAACATTTTTAGATGAGCATTCTTTAAAAGCACCTTGAAAGTCTGAAACACTGATTATGTGTACTTCAGTATTTTCTTTGGATTTCGCGTGTCATAGATAGACACAATTAAAACTACTTTTACAGCTTAATCTCCCTTTTATGTCATTCTATTATTTCCTTCCTTTCGATACTTTACAGTTTTCGTGGTCACGTGTCATGGTATGCCTTCACGATTCATTTAGGATAACTTAGATTTTCCACAAATAAAAAGGATTCATCAAGGCAGAAAAAATATATGTATGTAAATGGTATACAATCAATAGCCAGAAAATCTAGCTTGCTTCACATACATCATCACCATTTTGACAATTGAACAGGCAATGGAAGTTTAGTTTTCGGATCGTACTGATAAATCTAATTTCATTCATAACTACTGGTAAATGGGCCAAGATGGACCTGCTTTCAGCTTTACTATCGTATTATGGCACTATTAGACTTGCTCGTCAGACAAGGTAAAACTGTCACTTAATATTTTGGAAAATAAAAATTCCCGATTCCAAAGTAGATCACTGTTATTCACTGAATATTATATTAAGCTACCGAACGATTATATTATAAAAGTAAATGTAGTATCTATGTATGTAGTGTATGGAATCCGTGTATATAAAAAAAAAATAAAAAAAAAAATTATCGATAAGTCTCGCCTGGTTATAACTGGAAAGCTTCAATTAAAACTTTTCAGATTTGAGTTATTTAATATTCAAGAAATTGCAAAAAATTAAATGTATTCAAAGATATAAAAAATTTGCGTATATGAAAGAACTTTGTTACTTTTCTCTAGTTTTGAGTAATCACAAAATAAGTTTTTTAAACATATTTAAAACAAATATAACTAGAGTAAAGAATATTTTATTATAGCCAAAAAAAGGGCAATAAAGACATGAGATGGAATTCTTAGTAGTGTCATATTAGTTATAAAGTTATAGTGTTCATTGGTTGTAAAAATGTAACTATAAATTTTCGTATACAGTACAGGCTTTTTGTCCCGTGGAATATTGTAACCACCTCCGAGCCGGGGCTACCCAAAACCAGCTACTTCTATTCGATTCTTTACAAAAGAGAGGATTAGGGATTAGAAGATTAAATTAGATATTAGAGGAACTCTAATCTCACGGATAGCTTCGTATCTCTGATTCTACCGAGGAACTTCGGGTTTTTCTATATTTTATTTCGGATGTTCCATGGAGAGTGTCAGATAATTCCGCTATTTTACTACTACACTAGAAGAACAGAGCTTATCCCTACCTCCCGAAACATTGCACTCATCCACAGTGCACTGTGAAAGATCATCTTTGCCATACACTATTCGGCTCTTTTACCGAACGTTATGATGTCTTTAGTCGTCTTTCTTTAAATGAGGCAAACCCTTAAAAAGCATTAAAACTGAAAGCAATCCACTTTGATGCTTCTATTTAGATATCTTCAATATGCTGTAGTATCCACTTTGTAATAGGCGGGCCGTCGAATCACTTGCACATTCGGTGCAATAAAATGTAGAGACGTAAAATAAAAATGATGTCTTCTGCAGTCATATCAGAGCCTATCAATCGCAAAACCCGGGATTTATTAAAAATCTTTTAGCAAATTCCATAAAAAAAAATATTGCTTAGATGGGTGGACGAGCTCACAGCCCACCTGGTGTTAAGTGGTTACTGGAGCCCATAGACATCTACAACGTAAATGCGCCACCCACCTTGAGATATAAGTTCGAAGGTCTCAAGTATAGTTAGTTACATATTGTCGAATCGCTGTTTCGTTTTTGTTTACTAATTTAACCGAAGAATTCACAAATACATTAGAAAGCGCAGATTTTACTGGCTCTTTACTGAACTATAAGAAATGTAACTCGCCTATCTAGCAAGCAACTGGATATATATATATATATATATATATATATATATATATGAGAATAGCGGGAGGAGGTCGGGAAGTCAGCACCCAACGCCCACTCTCTAGGGGCTTGAATTGAATCAATTCCTTTAATGTCGTTGTGTATCTATCTACTCGAAGTGCTCGGCCGAATCTGTTAAAATTGTTCTTTTCTTTACATGTTATATTCATATATATGCTCACACAGGTCAAATATATTTTATGACAATGGCTAAACTTAGAATAAGTTTATATTAGTGGACTCGTGTGGTTCATTACATCCTACAAAAGTTATAAATTTCCGTTTAAGTCCTTCGAGAGTCTGCACGAGAACCACTGTCCTGCCACGTGCGAAATATTTGTGTTTTGAATGGTAGTCTTTTTTTTTCGTACCTATGCTGATAGCCTTGAGAGGCTATATCAGCTTCACCCTAACGTGTAGGTGAGCTCACGGGGCTCAAACCGGAGTGTTGCTAACACTGGCCCTAGCAAGAGCAGTGCTTCGCAGAATCTACCACCGGATCGGAAACGCGACCCACTGAGAAGATCCGGCGAGAAACTCAGTGGGCTGTATCTGTGGGTTAATTCGCTTGTCGAGCCCTTCGTCGCAACCGATGGGTTCGACGAGGACGGTGACCGGTGCTTGTGGTACATAAAAGCACCGTTAGTGGATCGGGAGGATCGTAATGACGTGTTGATGGTAGTCCTAGGAGTCTAATACTATTGAGACTTCAAACTTATGCCTAGGGTAAGCAGCGAGGTTCAAATTGTGATGTCGTCGTGTTCCTCGTCTTTATTGGTTTTCAGAAACAATACGGAGGAGCGTTATATCTTATTTGGAACACATTAATTCTTGAAATGATTATCATAAGGCCCGTCGCTTTTAAATACTGCAAACCAAAGTGAACTACAAACATACCTACACACATCCTTCCTGTAATTCTTACTTACCCTAGAAATGTAACACAGTTAACAGAATGATGTAAATAATGTTCAATTACTACATATTTTTTAATTTTTTTTTTATCAATCCCAAATGAGACGCTTCATGCTAATTAATAGACATAGTTATTGGTTACAGCTGGACTGCTCGGAATATTTTCAATACACCTTTTTTTCAACCAAATACAACTACTATAGTTCAGTTGATTCATTTTAAATAAATACACATAATATCAATTCAAGGACCACAGAGATGGGACATCAAATCCCGTTTAATTTCTCGGAGTAGAACAGCAATTCATCGGCGGAAATAAATCATAGCGTTTGAGTGAACTGTGGAACGAACATAAAGCTCTGGCACCATCAAAAGCTTTAAAAGTGTAATTACCCACATCGAACAAGGATGTCATTTATCAATTTAACTATGTATAATATTTTTATCATAAATCCGATTATCTCAATACGTGCAATATATCACGCAAAGAGCAAATATTCTTAATTAACTTATATACAAATTTTTATGTTCTACTATTAATCCAACATTTTAGTTTTTATATGTTTTCTTTCATTTTCCAATGAAAACAAATTAAGTTCTAAATTGTTGATTTGTTTAGGATAGGATGATCTATATTGCATACTTATCTGATGTTTTTCTGTTAAAAGCGATTTTTTTCTAGATAACATAAAAAGACAAAAAAAAGAAAACAAAAAAAGACAAAGACGGAATAAGTCGCTGCTCGTTATGGAAAAATATAAAACATTGAGAAACAATAAAATTATAATGATGTATTTAGGGAATGACGCAATATTTTTATTTATTTTTATTTTCATTTTAAGTACCGTAGCTATCAACCCTACCAGATAGACATTCACTCTCGGCTCTCGACTTCACAAGTGCTTGGGGGAGAGGGTGGCTGCCGTCCGCTCCGTTGTCATGGATACGACAGTGGGTTTCAACAAGTGGGTCTTATCGACTTACCATGCTATCTAAAGTGAGGTATAGACCGTGTTGAATAATACATATGTAGGTACTATTCAATAAATTACTAAATGGTTTTTTTGTTTTATAAATATACCTTCTGAATTTACCGTTTAATGACAGTTAAATAAATGTAGGTACCTAGGTATAACTACATATATGCTGTGACTTAGATAAGTGATAGTTATGTATTAACTACAACCGGGCCTTTAACCAATATTTGATCTGAAAATCTTGTAGTAAGGCGCGAAGAAGATATGCGCTTCGGTTTGAAATGTTGGACCACCATCTTACAACATAATTAAGAGTTTAACGTTATGCTTCAAGATGTCTGCCGGCATTCACGTGGCTCCGATAAAAACTTAACACAAGGAGCGCTGTGTTTTCTTCTACTCATCTAGAACCATGACACCCTGATCTACCAACAATTTGGTCGACTCTACTTAGGTAGCCGTGCTCGGTCCGCATCTGCACTAGCAGGAAGGTAAGGCGTCCATAATCGCGATTTATCAAGTCCCTTGGAACGGGGCAAAGCACCTTGATGGCTGGGCAGGGCTGCTTTTTGATCGAGTAGCCACTTGAACCATGCCCCTATTATGAACCGCTGCGATTGGGCTTAAGCGCTCGCATGATACTAAAGCTTTTTTACTGGTGGTAGGACCTCTTGAGAGTCCGCGCGGGTAGGTGCCACCACCCTGCCCATTTCTGCCGTGAAGCAGTAACCGTTTCGGTTTGAAAGGTGGGGAGCCGTTGTAACTACTTAGTCTGGCCATAAATACTGTTACAATTAAAAATAAACAAAATATTACATTTGAATTTGGAATCTGTCATTTTTATACGATTGCTCATTGAGTTTTCTCATTTTGGCGCCAATACATTGTACAATATTTTGCGATATTAGAATGGAGTGGGGTGATAAAGAGAGCCGAATCGCTGTGATTGCATTACAAAAAGTAGGTATGGAGCCAAATGCAATTT